CTCACAAACTGTGTATTTGGCCAAATAGCTAATGTAAAGTGAAGCGGCTTTAGTTACACTGGCTAGATGTAACATGTTTTCATTCGACTACTGAATTTCATTTTGAAAGTCTCGTGTCACAATTTAGTTACCATACTCCTGCGACCGTTTCGCAGGAGACCGATTTTTATGAATTTTTATATTCATATTCAGTAGGCCTGAGAATCGGCTACTATTATTATGTATTTTTCATACCCCTAAGTGATAATGGTTGTCCACCCCTAATATTTTTTTTTTTATATTGTGGCGTTAATAAATATATACAAGCTAATCGATATACACATTATATCGAATTCTTATAATTTTGTTTGTCTATTTGTCAGTGGGTTTGTGCGATTTACTCTTAGAAATGATTAAACTGATTGAAGCTTTATTTATTTATTTAGCGTTTGTTTTATTACAATTGGTTCACAAACAAATAACTTACGCAGACAATTAGACATCAATACAAATAAAGATTAAATTTTGAATTAATAAGATTTTTGATAGTCCTGTCCTAAATTACAGCAAAGAGGTCATGAGTTCAATTCTGAGTAACACCAAAAAACTTTTGTGTGTCAATTTACCCCGAACAACAATGATGTAACAAAGCAACACCCAAGTTTCAAGATTGTTCTTTTTGTCATGACTCTATTTTCCGAATGAAAACATGATCATTCTGAAGTGCTTATATTCAGTTTATTTGAATAAAAAATATGTATAATTCTATAAATTACTCTGAGAGATGGCGATAAGCTTGCCTAATGCTTTACCTTCTGCATTGGATTGATATATACCGAGTGAATTGCTGGCAAGTCAAGTGTCGCGTTTACTGCAAAATTGTCAGTTGAGAATGCTTCCGACTATACCATCAGCATTATACAGTCAGCTCGTGACCACGGCTAGTGCAACCTAGTCGAAACGTCGAGAGAGGTAAATACCTTTATTTGCCATAAAATTATTCGTGTTAAGACCCGGTTAATAATTTAAATAATGTATACCATCTTGGATAACAGTCGTAATGTTTTGTTTGTAATTAGTACTCAATTATAATAATGAAATAATAGTAATAAATGACAGCTAGACAAATCGATTGAGCCATACAAAAGAATACCAGGACAAAAGACAACGAAACCAGTTTCATGAGGTTAAGTAGGCTTTACTTTATTAGATATTGTTAGGTTAGGTTTTGAAGCTTTGTTAAGCTTCAGAACTTCTCAAAATGAAATACTATTATATCTGACAACCTGTCTTAGTACTGGATTTCATTTATATTAATTGCAATATCTACCCCTTTATCCAAGTGTACTCGTATTTCTATTCCATTTCTATTTCTAGTCTTTTATCCATGAAAATGTCAAGTGTCATTTAAATCTCTTTTGCTAATTAACTAATCCGTCTTTTTATTTTAAGTTATTTACTTCACTTCGGACACGGTGGTCTAGTGGTTTAGCACCCAGCCTTACTATCAATGGTCGCGGATTCTTGCGCTGTAAAAATATTGATACTAGCGTGGTTGTTTTCTATCTATGTATATTAAGTACATACCTATTTTTTGCTTTCTTATGGACCATAATGGAATTGTACACAGATGTAATCGTTGATGATGATCATGAGGAGGGACCGCGAGGAGGTCGACCTAAAATGGTAGCATTGGATCACTAGTTCTTAATATTAATAATGCCGTATAAACGCCCTATATTATGCCTTTATAAAAAAAATACATACCTATTAGCTGTTTTGTACTACCCATATTCCGTATAGTCGGAGACTAGATGGCGCTATATGAAATGTTTTGGATTCTATAATATTTGTTATTATTTGAAAGAAAGTGATTGATTGAACTCTAATTAGTTAATGACTTTGTAGGTTTCAATATTTATGAATGCGAGACAAAGAAGAGGCAAAATAGTTTCCACCTAATAAGTGGATATATACTCTTAAGTAATAACAAAGTTACTTGAAACACAAGTTCTTGTTGGTTCGTTTAAATTTAAATACTTTTGTTAGATAAAGCAATAGCTTTGAAAACTTTTCCCATTTGGTGATATTCATGTTATACAAGTTCTTTTGATATAGCAAACGCGGACAGCAATGGTGAATATAAATTTAATACTATTGTATATTGTTAACCGTATACCAATACTACATACTACATAAATATCTATAATAAATTACCTACTATAGTTACAAATTTCTGCTTAAAATTGTTCAAAGAGAAACTAATGAAATGGTTGATAAATAAGTGTTTTTACTTATTCAAAAACTATTTTATAGGTAAAATGGATTATATGAATTGTTATTTGTTAATATTATAATATTCTTCATTCTATGCATTTTAGATGTTATAATTGTAATATTATAATTGTAGAACAAGTTATATAAGCCGACATAATTTAATATGTATATCCTAATAATATTATATCTATACTATAAATAAATTCGCATTTATAGTATAGATATTATATTATTAGTATGGGTTTGTTAATCTTTCACGCAAAAACAATGAACCGATTTTGTTGAAACCTAACAGTAATATATATTAGGCATCAGAATAATATATAGACTATAATTACATATAATTTTTAACTAAAAATTACATATAATTTTTACTGAAATTTACATATTGTATTTTAAAGTGGATGAAACTGCGGGCACAATTAGTTAAAAATATTTTTTTTTTGCATGTCTAATAGGCGGAATATCGGGAATATCATCAAGTACATCTGTATAATTAGCACATTCATTGTGATATATAATTTCATTTTACTGCAGTTACCACAAAAAGTTTACTACCTTGAGTAACCAAGAATTTTTACTGAGATAGATAGATTTCGATGTCATCTGCGTGGGTATCTCAGTCTCCCTATTCCAGCCGCCAAGCAGCTTGCTTTTTAAGATGTTTCGGTTGAAGGACGCGAGGCAGTTACATATGAAACATAATCCTCTGGAATTATAATGCATAAGTGGCACGGATGTCACATGATAATGCGATGAGTGTAGTACTGTTCATGTAGTCAGGTGTTCCTTCGAGTAGTTTGCTACTCTAATTACAATAATCACTAATCACAGTTTAAAAAAATACCATATAGAGATATGTTTAAAAAAATTAAAGTAAATTAACTTGGATATTCTTTTTAATATTATGCTATATCAGCATGGTCATAAATCTTTTTCATATTAATAAATAATCTGAGAATACTATAGTGATAGCAGGAGAGCATGCTGTTGCTGGCTGCATGTCGACCTTTCTTTTTATAAATCTTGTATTATTTAGATATTTGGTTTTTATATGTCACTTTAGCCCACTTTTTCTGCGAACCCTGTTAGGAATACATACCTGAACAATTATTCAGTTTTTTAATGATAGTTGTTTTTTTCCGCTACAGGTATATGTGAATACCATACAATATGAAAAGTGATAATAATCGCATACAATAGCATGAACAGTGCCCTAACAAATACAGAAGAAACTACAACACCTGTGGTCTTGTCATTGCATTTTCGTTTCAAAAACGACTCCGCAGTTTCACAGACATATTTCACCAACAAAATGAAGCAATCTGTGTTCTAGACAACTTGGATAAACTTTCTGAATGTTGTTTCTAGAGTGTAGGTGTTTGCTAAACGTATTTGCAGTGTAAACGCCGTTTGGATATCCTATGGTAATGGTTAATACAATAGTTTATACATCGTCACATTTATTAGTTACTAGCAACCCGACCCGACTTCGTAAGTGCTAAATATATTATGCATAACAAAGTTTATAGTGAGTTAAGTTATAGGTTTATTATCTACTTTTAAATCTAGCTAGAGAAATACAGAAAACAATACTAAAAATTAATCCGAGAAGCGGCGGATACATGTTATGTCAAGAGTCGCGTTTACTACGAGCGACGTCAGAAATGGACAATGTTTTTAATTACCCCATCCGAGATAATAATTGTGACTATATGTATGCAACCCTGATCGTTTATAGGCGTTAACAAATATAATTGTGATATAATTGCCGCCTGTAATCAGTGTTTTTGTGGTGCCGAATATACTACTATTTGAATTCGGTCGATATAAATAATTGTCAACCCTGCAATATTTCGGGATCTTTTGTTCATTCGCAAGAAAACTTCTCAATTAGCGAGTTTACCGCTCACAAAGAAAGTTGCCGAACCCCCCAACCATTAAAGCGTCTTTTAGAATCACCGGAGTTACCAACGTGCAAGTTTTAATGTCTATCTATAGTGAGTTAACCTTAAAAGAGAAATATGTGTTATCGCGGACTTTTTTTTAGAACATTAAAAGGAGAACAATTCTGTCATACATATTTTTGTGTAACTTTGGCCGTTTCAACAGAGCACGCACCGGAAGCACTCAAAATGAATATTTTGCCCATATTTTTCATTGCTGCTCTCCCCTTGGTGGTCGTAGCAGTAACAATATCATAGATATATATCCTATAACACTCAGAGATAATATCTATTTTTAAAATTGGGTAGAACCGGAGATTACTCCTAATAAACAAACATACAAACTATATCTCATTATAATAAATATTAGTATAGAATCTGGAGTATTTGCAGCGTCATCGCTATCCGTTCCGTTCGACTAATGGTAACGCTTAAGAAAAACGATATTGCGAATATGCGATAGCGTTACGTAATGTGATATTATCGTTATATTACGATTTTCATTATTGCATTTGAGTGAGATTATTCAGCAATGGGCGTGTCACGCAGAGCCAGCGCTATTCATTATGTTTGACGGACGCTATCGCAAACAAACATGTTACTGTGAAGAGGCGTTAGCGTCGCGTAGCATGATGTTACGATGTGATCGAGTATGCTTTAGGAAATAGTTTTTGATGACGTAATCCATAAAAATGTACAAATAATACTATTCATAATGGCCAGTATTGTATCTTCAATCGAAAACGTTAGTGTGAATATTTTAATGATTAATAAATATTTAAAAATTCCAATACAAACCTTGACTCTCATTGAAGAATCCTAGTACCATAATAACAATAACTACCACTCCGATCTTGAGTCGGTAGCTAACTGACATGGTATGGACTTCCACCGCCCTCCACATCACGATAATGTCTCAGCCTTCTCTCATCCATTCGTTGTACAGCTTCGTGTCTTCAACACGATGCGTCTTGTTAGTTTTTGGATGATGCATTATCTGAAACAATCAAAATATCGATATGAGATATTGTTTTGTAAAATTAGAGTTTTGCTTTATTGAAAACGACACAATAATCAGAGCTATTGACCATTTTGGGTTTGCTGCACCGCACACATGAATTCATTTCGTTATTTGTTTTGTTTCACTTTTTGGTTTTGATGTTATATTTGTGCTTAATACACAAACAAATCGGTTATCTATATATATCTATGACTTAAGGTTAATATGGCAGTGAATTTACAATATACATACATGATTTCTTAGTCCTCCAGGATGCCAATAGATAAGGATTACTACGGGTGTCATATGGTAACGTTGGTGATATTCATCAGGATCTATATAGGAGACAATAACCACTTACGATTAGGTGCCATTGCCATTCAAATTGCATAAGAAAATACATATTAAATACTAGTTCTACTTGGTATTTTAGCCGAATAATTTACATATAACAAGTTTACAGTCTTGACGGTTACTTTGTGCTACATTTTTTAAAATTGGGTTGAGTTATTTCAATATATTTGTTGAGGTATTACACACATATACATCTATACAAATACATATCTATTGATATTTTCACAGTACAGTGGGCAATTAGGCATTATATTCCTACAGAATCCATAATTGACTAGAATAATCTCACTCACTATCGAAAAATAGAAAAACATTTATTTTGCTAAATTAAGACTAAGACCTCGTACATACACTAATTGAGAATTGAATTATCTTACTTACGATTTAAGTCAACTACGAATAAAATTAACTATTTCATATTTTGCTAAATTAGACATTATACTAATATAAAATGTGTCCATTTCTCAATAACTCTTATAATAATTTATATCAATAATTAATCTACATGTTTCATTACATATTATATATCGGTACTAGACTATCGATCATTCATTGTCTTATATCAAAGAAAAGTGGACTTATTTTGTTAAATGAGTTACAAACTTTTTTTTATATTCATAAATTATCATTGCGCAAATATGAAGTTATTAACAACATAATATTTTTTTTAAATAAAGTTACACGTCATTCTTGTACATCCTAATTATTTTACTTTTACTCTCGTGGTCTTCATAGCATGAAGTTAGGGTTGGCCTCGGAGTTCAACTACAAGTAATAAATAACAATGACGTTAATAAATAAATAATGGGGTTGATGGACTAGCGGTTTAGCACACCCTTTTACTTCCTATGGTAGCGGGTTCGATTCCTCGCACGGTGCAAACATTTGTATTCATGAGTATAATTGTTTGTATCGGTGTAGGTGTTTTCTATGTACATTATGTATGTATTTACAAGTAAGATGGGATAGTCATAGGCATTGTCCATGTCATGGTTAATACAATACTTGAGATGTTCACATATCGTTAGGTATATTTGAACGTGACTGGAATAAGCTTACCTTTGTCTCTCCAATTAATTTGGTTTATTATCTACCTTTAAATCTAGCTAGAGAAATACAGAAAACAATACTAAAAATTAATCCGAGAGGCGGCGGATATATGTTATGTCAAGAGTCGCGTTTACTACGAGCGACGTCAGAAATGGACAATGTTTTTAATTACCCCATCCGAGATAATAATTGTGACTATATGTATGCAACCCTGATCGTTTATAGGCGTTAACAAATATAGATATAATTGCCGCCTGTAATCAGTGTTTTTGTGGTGCCGAATATACTACTATTTGAATTCGGTCGATATAAATAATTGTCAACCCTGCAATATTTCGGGATCTTTTGTTCATTCGCAAGAAAACTTCTCAATTAGCGAGTTTACCGCTCACAAAGAAAGTTGCCGAACCCCCCAACCATTAAAGCGTCTTTTAGAATCACCGGAGTTACCAACGTGCAAGTTTTAATGTCTTCTGTGAGAAATTTCTTTGTTGTGACACGGTTGGACGCACAAATAAAAACATCTCTTTTAGATTTTACACCCCTTCCCCGAACCAGTGGGCTAGGTGTTGCAAACGTAATCATTATTTTTTATAATTAGATGAAAAAAAGTTTTAATTAGAAAAGGTAAAGAAGCATTCATTTATTTGGAAGCGTACAATTGGCACAAAATTGGTTTGTAATCTAACAGTATATACCTATGCCTAGAAGCAACACAATACAATATTTTTGGGGACATTTTGTTAACAGGTATTTATATAAAAATAAATAGGAACAATAATAAATATCACTTTACGATATCCAATTTGATTGTGTACGGTAGATCTATAATTGTCTCCGGAACTGAAGCAGTGTTCAAAAATATCTATAAAATACCTAACGACATAAAAAAGTAGTATATTTTGTAACAACACAATTTTTTATATGATTTGAACACTTAAAACGAATAAATACATATAATATAAAGTATATATACTTTATATTACCCCTACAAACAAAATTTTTATTCAAACCATCTGTTATATAAAAAAATCTTTATCTCTCTTTAATCAGGCCCATAGATAACTGCAGATGAAAATAATACAGTGTGAACTAAAAACAGTTCTCAACTATCTCGGTAGTGTAGTAGTATATACTACTCTATTATTTATCCACTTTATTATTATTATACTCTCCAATAATCATGAATTTCATCAACGCAAAATGCAAATCAGAATTAGTGCTTTCTTGTTTGTCAAAACACAAGTTTAGAAAGTAAAATTATGCAAAAATTTGCTGTATATGTAGAGTGGTATACTCTACATATATATGTAGAGTATACATAAATCACCTCTACTTTAAATAAACTTATATTTAAGCAGTGTTTTTTTCCATTAAACTTTGTTTTGGGCAATTATGAACAGTGTTTTTTCCACTTAATCATTCGTAGCGAGTATAACAGACGAATTCTTAGAAGTCATGTTACGAGCATAACGAATATATCTGCCATCATTTCGATCAAATTTTTTATACATATGATAGTACATACATATATTATCTAAAATCACAATTCTCTATGTATGGTAAAAGTTATTCCTGTTCCATTCTGCGAACAATGGTTGTTATGTTAAACCAACATGTAGGAACAACTTACATTAACTATGTAGAACCTAAAATATCCTGCTTACAGCTACATATTAAATTCTTGTCAGAAAGGGATGCCTCCACCATGACATGGCACGATGGTAATGGCCTTCATTAACTACAGTTGCGAGAAATCCATTAGACCGATATGTACCACTGGAAATACGTTATATTCTTATTTCCCGAAGCGGCAATCATATTTACCCTCGGTGTTTCCTCATTTTCTTTGATTACGACGGAAATAATGTTAGAAAATATCCATTTATACATAAATATTGTTTTATTTTATTCTATACAACTCAACTTACATTGAGAATAAAATAAAATTATCACCTTTTTGAAAACAATTCAAATAGACATTAAGAGCTCATTTTTAAAACGTATTTTGTAAGTACAATAGAATTTTTCTTGTAGGTATATGGTATTTGAGTTTATGAGGTTCTGGGAGAGTAATCTATGAATCTACAGAACCGATTTCGAAACGTTTTTAACAATACAAAGCTACGTTATTTCTGAGTATTTTAGCCTATAGTGTTTTTGTGATAGTCGGAAATGTTTAATGCCTAACCAAGTGGGCATATGTTAAATATAATACTTATATACTAGTCACTCGCCCAATACTAGTGCTTATAACTTTATGAGCTTCAATTTAAATATTTTTGAATATTTCATTTTTTTAAATTATTTACTATTTATTGCACCAAAGTATAATACACAGAACAAACAGATAATAAGTAATAAGGTACAAAAGGCGGTTTTATCGCGTAAGCAATCTCTTCCAGACAACCTTTGGGTAGTAGAGAGAAGACAGAAAGTGGTAGATGGTGCAAGAATGGACTAGGGAATTAAAAAAAGACATAGCAATACTAAATAATAATAGTTTATATACACTACTTACATATATATACAATATTATAGAGTTTTGTATATATTAATACAATCTATAGCGCATAAACTACAAATAGTATATTTTTTTAATTCCCTTATGTAACTATTCTTTTAGATAATCTATTATTGAATACTAGCTACTCACCCCGGCTTTGCATTGGTGTATGTATATGTATTATACGTATAAAGTTTCCTCTTGAATCACTCTATCTATTAAAAAAACAGCTTTAAAATTTGTTGCGTAGTTTTAAAAATTTAAACATACATAGGCACGGACAGACAGCGACTGCGACTTTGTTTTATACTATGTAGTGATACCAAGCATATAATCTTTCTTAGTAATGTATTAATGTAAATAAAGGTATTTACCTCTCTCTGTTAGAAATAATATACAGAAAAATTGAGAAATATTATGTATACGGTGTTTCCTCGTATTCACAGGTGACGGCTATCACTTTCCATCAGGTAGGCCGTATCTTATTTTATATTCCAGTTGTACAGAAAACAACAGACCCACTAATCATATTCCTACTTGTATATTTCGAAGAGTCATAAAAATGTATTCAAAATTATCAACGTTAAACTCTAACTGTCTTATTACAAAAAGATAAATCTGGTTTAGCACTAGTAATAAACCATTGACCAAAGTATTCCTTATTACAAAACGAAGATTAACTCTAAACTGTGATTCGTCTCTGGTCTAAAGTTAGATCTGCGATGCCCCTAGCTTACTGTTAAGCTAGGGACTACTGAGTCTAAATGCAAAAAGTCAAACTCCATTTTTAAATATTGTATTGTAAGTTGTTGTTTTTAGAAAAAAGGCTTAACTAAATTAGAAATATATTAACTAAAAATATTTAAGGCTAACTTGTACAATTAGCTTTAAATATTTTTAGTTAATAATAATAAAAATATATAAAAGACGTCATTTGTTATTGCACTCTTTTGACTTTAAGTAGTCACCATTTGAATCGATCCAATAAAAATATCTCGCCGTTCCTTTTCTCCGTAACTCCGTCCTTACTTGTAATTTAAAATTAAACTATTTTTAGCCTAATAGTACGTCAATAAATATTATATAT